ATGTTCACCACCTTGAATTATTCATAAAAATAATAAAGGCAGGATAAAAAAATCAGAAAAAAATAATTCCACTGTACTCTGTGCTGGTTAGATCACTCTTGGTGTACTCTATCCTGATTTGGCACTACACTTTAAAAGGGACATGGAAAAGTTGGAGTGGATTCAAAGGAGAGATACCAGAATGATAATGGATCTGAAAACCAAGCTGTATGAAGAACAATTTAAAAACGTTGATTAAACCTTGTCTTGCAAAGGAAAAGACTGAGGGGAAATATGATAGCAGTCCACAGATATCTAAAAGGGTGCTATCTGCAAAAGGATATACAGTAGATATATTCTGAATTAAAACCTAGAGCAAAATGTTCACCAGTGGTTTCAAATTAAAGAAGATTCAGGCTAAATATTGAGAAAAAAATTCTTTATGAGAAGATTTCTTAAGCAGTATAAATGCTTACTTAGAACAGTGTGGCCCTCTCTTTCAAACAGGAGCTTGAGGCTACCTGTTGGAAATGATTACTGTAAATGGACTCCTGAATTGAGTAGGGAGTAGGACTAGATGATATCAAAATCCGTTCTAAGTCATATCTATGATTCTATAATATTCTAAATGGGAATTACATTGTAGGTATCTAAATGCATTTAGATAAACAATCATATTATATGGTATGTTTATAACACATACAATATTGATATTTTTATATCATTCAGTAAAGAGAAAAATATGGGTACAATAAATGTATCCTTCCCCTCCTACTAGACAATCCTTCTGGAGTGGAAGCAAAATTATTGCCTTTAAAATAACATTTAGTTTGATTATGAACAATCTATTAACATTTGGTTTAATAAATATTTGTTTTCTAAGAGTAGGTCTTGAAATAAATTATTATTAACCTAGAAAATTGCAATGAGTAAAATTTAATGTTAAACAAGCACATTTCAGCTGACATAGTAGCATTTTATTCTTCTTCCTCTCCCCTCCCCAGTGAACCTTTAAAATCTGCTTTACAGAGTTATAGTGGGAAGATGTTAATTTATTATTCATTTGATCATATATAAGTGGCCCTTGTTATAAGCAGTTTCATTATAAGTAGCAATTGCAACCTAACAACCATAGGTAATAAAACCATGGATAATGAGACTGTTGGCCCAGCCCAACACTGCTGGGTTCATTTTCACCCAGTGCGATGAGCCAATAAATCACACACAGTCGAGGAAAGTGGATTCCAACACTTTATTTCTGCGCAGACACGAAGAGGTATGCTTGGGACCCAAGTCCAAATCTAGCACCCCTTCATGAAGTGAGAACCATATTTTATACAGTTTAAGCAAGGAAGTAATAAGCTGATTGGTACACGTCTTAGACATGCACACAAAAGCATTCTATCCCGTAATAGTCCAGTGGGGGGGATATTAGCATATGAGATTTCCACCTCTGGGTGTGCTTTTTAGCATGCTAATGATAAACTTTTGTTCACCTCTGGACCCTTGTCCAGACACCCCTAACTGCAGCTGTAGCTGAATGCCATGTCTCCTTTCTTTATTCCAGTAATGGGCTGACTTACAAAATTAGTTCAGCAAGTCATCAGAGCAACAACCTGCCAGCTAGTACAGGTATGGAGTGTTTGTGGTCAGCCTATGAAGACTTTGTGGTCAAATTTTCTAGCCCCTGCTAGCAAGTTAAGGAAGTGCTGATTCTTAACAAGCAAAAGCACAAAGTGATTACAATGGAATAACTGTAGCTGAAGCTAATTCATGGCTTACAAAAGCCTCTAATAGTTTGTTAATAAATTGATTCAGGTGGCCTTCAAGTCCTTGTAAAATCATACTTCACATATGCATACAAGCCTATCTGCCATTTTGCATACATTACATACTCCAGAAGTCCTTCTCTGAACAGAAGCACACAGCCCAAACCACAAATGTATGAAACCTTTTACTGCAGATACCATAGTTTAGTCTTCATTTACCAACCATATGTTTACTAATTATATGCAAAACTGCAGGAAAAAAGGGCCGCTTATATGCTTAACTGTGATTTTATTTATGGCTATTGCTGCACGATGCCTTTGCAAAATAAATGGAGAATCTTTGCCTGGTTAGACACAAACATATAATATGGGGTTTTCTTAACTGTTTGTTGTGCTGAACTTGAGCTGCACTGGGATACAGGGAAAATTTAATGCAGCCTTCCCAAACCAGTTTTTTATAAGACATGTTGGACTTCAATGTCTATGTGGGCTGGGGAATTTGAACTCTAGCACAGTTGAAGAACATCATATTGAGGAAAGTTGATTTAATCAATAATATTTGGTCCTAATGGTACACTTAATGTAAGATAGCACTGGGTCTTGATAAATCATTGAAAACTGTTTGTGTCTTATATTCAAATTGCTTTAAAAGCATTACTGTACATGTGCATAATATTCTGACTAAAAGGAATTTAGACTGTGGCAACACTGTTAAAGTACCTGAGTTAAGTTTCATAGAGCTCTGCAAGATCTTTTCATTATGGTGTTAAAATAATTGTAGACTATGATATGTAATTACATGCAGTATGCAATTATTTAATAATGAATTGTAAAAAGTATTATACAGGTAATTAAATGTTTTTCACTTTGCATTTTTATCTTCATGTATCACCTTTCTTTGATACTACTAATTCTTGGAAACAGTATGTATGCTTATTTATTAAATTCATTTTGTTCCCAGGTGGAGGTTTGGCAATTGGAACCATTCTTCTTATTGGTTAGTATGACATTTTTCCAGTATCACACTTGCTAGCAATTATACATGCATGAAATGCATGAAATTACTTAATTTCCATTAAAATATTTTGGAAAGTATATAACATTAATTCTTCTAACAAGTTCTACTTGAATGGTAGATCTTAAATTTATCTCATATTAAATAATTTGTATTCACTGGGTTGCTTTGACTGCTGCATTATATAAAAATTTAAACAATTTGTAAGCCTTTACTCCTTTCTTATTTAGCTTTCATGTCACTAGGACGGGGGGGGGGGGAATTGACCCAGATTAGCTGTAAAGCAGATGAAGAGATCTGACTACAGGTTTGGTGCTTTTTTCTTTCCTATCTTATCTCCAGTAGCAGTTTTAACATAGTTCCCTTTGTATGATTGTTTTCCATTTTACTGCATCATTGTTAATTCCCATAATAACTAAAGCTGAATGGAATGTATTTTTCTAGTTTATTCAAATCTCTAAATTGTTTTTACTGCCTAAGCATTTCCATTTTAATACAAATCTTGGAAAGAAGTATTCTAAGACTTTATTCAAAACAAGTCTTCAAACTCTGTCAAAATCTATATAAAACACCCAATCCTTTCTAAAGTTCTAAAAATATTAGAACTTTAAGTGATGTATCTAATGGCATTAGGAGATGGTATTCCAAGTGAAATGATGTATTAATTCCCTGATCTCACCTCTCTCATCTGCTGTAGAAGTTTTGGGGATTTTTGGAGAATGTTTGGGATATGAACTACAGTTAGAGAGAGGAATTGGATGGAAATCTCCTCCTGTAACGTTGGATGAAGCCCAACTTAGCACATGTCTACGTTGCCTTGCAGTCATTAACAATACAGGTAGTCCTTGTTTAGCGACCACAACTGGGACTGGCAACTCATCATTAAGCGAAGCAGTCGCTAAGTGAAACCACAACTGTGCTTGTGATCTTATTTCAGCTTTCCTTTGCTTTACAGACCTGCAATCTAAATGCAAGGATTGATTGCAAAATTACTTTTTCATTACCATCATAAATGTGAACGGTCACTAAACAAGGACTACCTGTATGCATAAAAGGTTAGCATGCAGGAATAACTTTCCTCTGCATGCCAAGTTTATAGAAGTGGGGATGGCAGAGAGAGCAAGGAAATAAAATATTAGAGTAAGAAAGAATTCATACTTCCTGCTACAGGAAAATTCTTCAGTTTTCCACATAATTGTTTGCTCTTATAGGATTGTCCTTACCACTTGTTTAATTATATTGCTCTTTTACTGATTAAAAAGAAAACTGAAAAAATACAGATATGATGAAAACCATAAAGTTTTATCATTAAAAAGGATGAAATTATTTCATTTCCTCTAGCAAAACATAAAAATAAAGAAGAGGTTTAACAGAATCATAGTGTGTTGTGGATATAATGAATCTAATATAGGAGATGAACTTACTAGAAAGGGCACATGTAACCTGATGATTTTTGAGTTAGTAGTTAGTAAGTAAAAAAGGTAAGTGGTGGGTAGAGAGTTTAAATGGTAGAGTAGAAGGCATTTCGAATAATTCATTTAAAACTTTTTATACTTTTAATTTATATGCATCTCAAAGCAATTTATAACAATTATATAAAATATTGTTCTAAAAAAAGTTCCAATATTAATGGAATTGGATATTATTAATCAATATTTAGTTTTTAGGGTTTCGATTAGATTCTGGCCTAATACTGTTGTCATCACTATGGCTTTTTGTTTTGTTTTGTTTTTTTCTCATTTTGGTTAGGGATTTTTTAAAAAGAAATATAAAAAATATATAAGACTAGTTCAGGCATCATGTTTCTTATCCAATAGACTATAGCAAAATCATGGTTTCTGGGAAGTTCTCAAAATATAGTGAGATACTGGGATATTGCTGCAAATTATTTGAGAAAGTAAAAAATCTTGTAGTATTAAAATCATTAAGGAAGAAGGAAAGATGTTCCATTTGTTGGTTCAAGAATATGATGTCTAAAATAAGCCATATTAAAGAAACAGCAGGAGAAAAGTTTATTCACATAGACATGAGGGAAAATATATGTGTAATAGAATATTTAGGCTACTATCCTTCCTACAGAAAATAGTATTTACTTGGAATATATAACCTGTTGCCTTGTGCTGCACAAATAATTCCCTGATGCAGGTTAAGTTGAGTCACAAATCTGAAAAGATCAAAATTCCTGCAGTACATTACTATCTAGAATGCATATTAACTTTTAATACATTTTTACTAATTAGCTAACATGGGTAGGAAGCAAAAACTGTAGAAAACCCTAAATGGATGAACAATCATTTTTATAATATCTATAAACAGAAAAGCCCATGCTGAATTATATGAAAAAAGCTACTTATAGAAAAATTGGAATTGTAGTGCTTCAAAATCAGTTACCAGAAATCTTTCTGTGTTCTCATCTTGCTCCCCCAGCAAATAGATACACTTATGTAATCATTAGTATTTCTTTTCTATAGCCTAAGAAGTCTGTATTATTGAAGATGTTCTTCTTCCATCAGAGAAGAAGAAACTAGTGTAACCTTTAATAAGTCTGGAATCTGTCTTTGTTGATTAAAAAAATTCTAAAATCTTTAGTACATTTTTGTATGCCATAGTAGAATGGATTTTCTCCTTTTTCCCCACAGTCCCCCTGTATGCCTGTCAGTCAAATGTAGGAGAACCTCCAGGGCACATTTGGAGGCATGTGGGGAAGGGAAAAGGAAAATCTCCTTAAGTGAGCAGAAGCCAGTTGTATAACACTGTTATTATTATTAAATTTTGTTCATACTAAAGCATAGTTTGCTTAAGCATTGATTAATGTATAAGCACAATTGATCATAAAATATAGCTTAGAAACAACTACTGCATTTGCACAACCTGCTAAAATAATTCTTTGGAATGTATACTATGGCTTGGTAAGGTAGGTGAATTTAAGAGTTTCTTCCTTTTCTTTGATATGGCTTTAAAGACTGGATGACAGCTTTTTGCAGGAAGGAAATATGTATCTCTTAGATTTTGTCTTTGTTAAAGTTGCAGTAGTTTTGCCAGGAAAACTATTGGCCTCTCAGGAAATCCCTAATAATGCTTGAATTCAAGAAAGCCATACTGATGGTTAAGCAGAGTCCTTGATCTGGATCTGCAGAATGATAGATCCAAAATTCCTACTGTAATGGTGATCTTTCTAGTGTTCTTTCTGTTCCACACAGGAGAGCATTCACATTAGTAAATGTTAATGTTTTATATTTGACTGTGTTGGAGGAAGATACAGTAACATTCCATATCAGGAATGCCTATGGTCTGGGTTTGGACTAGAAAATGATATATAGGTTGTTTATAGCTTCCACAAACACAACTAATGAGTACAGGTAGTCCTTGCTATCCAACCACAATTTGGTCCAGAACTTCGGTCGCTAAGCAAAGCGGTCATTAGCGACCACAATCCCGGCAGTCCCGGTTGCTGTTGTTAAGTGAATGCCCCAGTCATTAGGCGAGGCAACTTCCTGCCAGCTTCCCACAATCAAGTCAGTGGGGAAGCAGCAGGAAGTTGCAAGCCCCAGGCACTGCCAGGAGGGGGGGAGTGAGGGGGTGCGTGGGGGTGCGTGGGAGAGTCAGGGTCCCACACCGCACCCCCATGCACCCGACCCAACCCTCCCACACATCCCCATGCACCCTCTCGCTTCCTCCCCCACTTGCTCCCTACCCCATCCTCTGTGGCTGAAAATCCTATTTGGATTTTTGGCACAAAGGTTTTTCAGGCAGCCCCAAAACCCCATGCAAAGCTGTTACAGGCTGCCTGTAACACCTTCGCATGGGGCTTTGTGGGCTGCCTGAAAAACCTTCGTGCTGAAATCCAAGCAGGATTTCAGCACAAAGGTTTCCAGGGCTGCTTGAAAATATCCCCATGTCAAAATCAGGTAGCCCTCAGAGACAAGACGAAGAGCTGCTCCGTGCACTAAACTCCCCATGCCAAAATCCTGCTTGGATTTCAGCACAAAGATCTTTCAGGTAACCCTCAGAGACAAGAGGGAGTCCTCTCAACAGGCGGAAGCAGCTTGCAAACTTCACTGCTGGCTACTTTCCCAGCAGGTGGCAGGGAAGGTTACAAATGGCGATCACATGATCGTGGGGCGCTTGGCAACTGGTTGTAAGGGCAAACCAATTGCCAAGGGCCCAGATTGCCATAACTTTGAGTCAGGTCGTAAGTTCCTTCATTCAGCACTGTCGTAACTTTGAATGGTCACTGGACGAACAGTCGGATAGTGAGGACTACCTGTAAAGCATTAATATGGAATTTACAATTGCTTCAATTTTTTAAGATTGTGCTGCAGATGTGCATGAAGTGTAAAATATACTAAAAATGCTGACTCTTAAAATCCTGTCAAAATTATTATTAATGATAGAATAATTTTGCCTACAAAAATTGACAGCTTAGATATATACTTTGTTCTGTCAAAATTGGTAATATTTGCTAAAATGAAACTACAGGTCTTGTTTAACTGTCATTTAAGCTACTTCTCTGCATCTTGTTGTTAGGAAGGACACAGTTCTTAAAGTTTGTCTTATAAAAGCTATCTTTCACTTAGTAAGTAAGGTCAGGTTAAAAAAAAGCTCAATTTTTTGGGAAAGGCAGGACTATTCTTGTTCAGTCTAAGCCTTAAAGCAATTTCAGCTATTTTAATTAGCTACCTTTTTTGTTTTAGGTATGCAATTTAACCTATTTCACTTGTCAATGTAATTGACCTTATCACCTTTTGAAAAATTAAAAAGATAATCTTTAGCAAAGTACAAAACAGTGATTTGCTAAATATAATTATACAAAATATAAGTTGTCAAATTTTACTTTCCTACCCAATGGCAATATGCCAAGTAATGTAACGTGTATGTTTGTTAACTCTGTATTGGCATGTGCTAATTAAATACAAATATCACAGATTAACCTCCTTTGAGCTTTGTAACTTTTATGAACATTTAATAAAATATTTCATATG